AGAATTTAGGGTCAGAGTTTAAATTAAGCTTTTGCTTTGCATTTAAACCCCTTTTAAAGGTTAAAAAGAAAATCTTGATGAACATAATTAGCCAGCTGCCTCCATTCTGTGGACATAGGTTCAGACACCGGGCTGCTTTGGCAAGGGTCAGATGAAAGCATTGTGCAATGTGATGATATTCCATAAATGGCTTAATATCCAGTCTGGTACATCCAGAGGCAAAATTGCCCAGCCTGTTTTTTAAAGGCTCAAAGCTCTAAATGTCACAGGCCTTTGGGTGTTATTGCAGCCCTCGGATGTCATGTGCAATTGTAAAAGTTTTGGGTGACAAAGCTGTGGTCGTGGGGACGCTGCAGCTCCCAGGTGCCGGCGCTGCCCGCGCTGTGGAGCCGGTGCTGGAGCGGGAGAAGCTTGGAGCATCCCTGCATCAGGCATCTTCACTGTGACTAACTCTGCTGAATCAGAGGTGAAGCATGAGGAACAGGCTGGGATAGCGCAAGCATTTGTAAACAACAGCTTTTTTTAACGGCTGCTAGACAGCTTTGTGGTCCCGGGCTGAGTAAAGGGCCTGACCTAGTGCATTTTCACTGGGGTTACTACCTTTAGGTGGCTGAGGTGCTTGGGATCTGCCTGGTCCAGAAGAGTACATGTGAATAGACATTGCAGTGAGATAAGTGCCACCACACGTGAGCCTTGGTGCAGCAGTAAGTTGCTGTGTTCCCAGGCTTGTGCTTAGGGCTAAGGTGACTCCCATTCACCAAGGGAAAACCTGTGTGCTAGAGGAAGAAACACCAGGCAAGAGAGGGGACAAGGAAGGGGCGGGGGAGTGTGTATTTAGTTTCTACAGCTGCTTTCTAATCTCCTAGAAGGAAAAAAATGTGCTACGTCCTGCTGTTCAGGCAGCAACTCCTGTACCCTCCCTTCCTGGGGTCTTACTTCTCTTTAGAGCCAAAAACCATTTCCTCGAGAGGATCCCATAATCGCAGGCAGGTTCTTCACAGGAGACTCAGGTGCCTCAGCCCTGTTTTAGTGAGAGATCCTGGAGGAACTTCTGTTTTCTCTGTACAGGTTGCAGGCTGGCTACCTCCCTGTGTCGTGTAAGAGCTCCAGGTTTCTAGGCTCTGTTACATAACTGTACTTCCTCACCCAAGAATCACGTTACATATGGATATACGTTCCCCTGGCCAGCTCCCTTGGGGAGCTAATTCACTTGTTCAGGTTAGGAATTGAAGAGTAAATGACAGTTCTGTGGCAAACCCAATTGTAGCTGGAGCAAAAAGAAATAAGGAAAATGTTGGGAGGTGGAGAGCTGTTGAACTCCAAGCACAGCGTATGCTGCAAAGCCATGTAGCCCAGAAATGATGCAGGCATTAGTTAATATTAAAGTGAGGATGAAGATTTTGCGTCTTTGAGGATGCAGGTGTCCAGACGTTGTGGCATTCTAGATGTACAAGACTAGCCATTCCTAACAAGTTTGTCCATTTTGGACAGTCAGGGGGTCCCTGTTTGTCGCTGTTCAGGATTTCTGAGCAGTACAAGTCCAGACTGACGCTTATGAACCGTGACCCAAAGCAAGAGTGTTCACATGCAGTTCACATGCAGAAACCAACGGTATTGCCACGGGAAGCGTGCAGTGTAGGCGAGGGCCTTGGGGAGTTCACCTGTATTCTCAGTGCCCCATTTACCATAAGATATAGTGGTCTTTGGTTTTAATTCTTTACATCTGAAAGTACAGCCAAAAAGTGATTTGAGATTCTCTTTAGTTAGTACTGAAATAAGAGTAAGATATGCTAATGTTTACCAAATTCTTATTCAATGGTGTATCTGTTCAGCTGATGGTGCATGTTAGTAGGTGTACAGTTGGCTTCCGAAGAATATTGTTCTGTTGTCATAGATAAATATGCCAAATGGCAGGATTTGGGGTGCTTCCTTAGGATACTATTTTACTGCCATAAAACTTTATAATAGCAAAAGGCTATTATGTTTTAATCTTAAAATAATAATAATAATAAAAAAAAAAAAAAAACTAGTATGCTATGGTTTTGTTCGACTGCAATCCAGAGCTGTTGCAGTTGAATTTACTTCAACCTTAAAATCATTTGTACTTGCAGAGATGAAACTGTCAATAAAAAAAAAAAAAATTGTCAAGGAAATCTTATGCTTTTAATTTAGTTTATACCAAGAGATGTGAAAGGAGGATGTTCTTAGTTGAGCATCAGAACTTCTGCCTAATGTTTGTAATAAAAACATACTTCTGTAATAGCCTGGCAACCTGAGAGACTTTCCAAATCCATTAAATCAAATAAATCCACACACACACTGCCTTTCACTGCTGTGCTGGTTCCTGTGGATGGAGAGTTCTCTGGCATGTAGCTTGTACATGCTGATGCAAAGCTGAACGTGTTTTTTATTATTCATATTTGGGGGGAAAAAAAAAATTAAGAGATGTAAAGGCTATTTAGGTAATGAGTGAGAGCGCTGTCTTGGCCTGCATATGCAGGCACTGATGCAAGTTTGTAATGACCTCTTGCATAGCAGGCTAGTGGCATAAAGCTTTTTCTTGAAAGCAGGACTGCTCTTGATACTTAAGCCTCTCTGCAGATTATTGAGGCATTTAGTGCAGTGTCTTAAAATGATTGATAGCACATTGTTATCTTCTTTCTTGAAATTCTTTCTTGAAATTCTTAGAAGTTAGTAATGTGCTGTAGTATTATGCACTGCTTTGCAGTTCCAGTAAGGTCCTTCCTACAGTTGGTTCAGAGATTCCCTTTCTGACTTTTCTAGAAGATTGGTGGTCCTTTTCAGCTAGTGAATCCTCTGGTGTAAAACAAATGTAAATATCAAATGCAATTCATGTATCTGGCCACCCAATTTTACTGTCACTAAATTTTGAAGAAAAATTCTCATTGATAATAAGGTCAGATTTTTTTCTTCTTCTGATCAACATGAAAATTGGTTATGTAGAAGGTAATACAGTCAGAAGACCAAATGCCTCCCTTAGAGAGAAATTTGAAGATACCAGATTATTGACCTGTAATAAAGAGATTTTAAAGCCTTAATATGAGCTGAAATCTGAGCCTGCCTAAAGTTGTGCTTATAAGTCAAATCTTTATTGTAAAGACAGAAAATAGATGGAAAAAGAAAAATGTACAGAAGATGCGTTACTTTAAAAACAGCACAAAACATGAAGTGCAGATTTAGGGTGGAGAGAGACCCTGACACAAACCTTATGAGATTCGGGAGTGCTTTGTTTAGACGCAAAGATCAAGCGTCGACCACCCAGAGATGCCAGTTTCATATCTTTGCTTCCTGAAAGTGTAGACCTAAAAGTTTGAAACTAAATTTCCTAGTTGGGCCCACATCTGTAAACAGCTGGTTTTGCAGTGTCTAGTAGCACTAGTTTTCTTTGGGGAAGAGAAATAGACCAAAAAATCTGGAATACTTTTTTTTTTTTTTTTTTTAGTTTGTAGATGGACGTAGTCTCAGCAGGTGTCAATCACATTATCTGAGGAAGTTTGGTGAGATGAGACTCCTAGGTTATTTCTCTTATAGTTGTTAGTTTACTAGCAGTCTCAGGAGTAGAGTAGCTTACTTGCACTTGACATGGAGAGTTATCAGACCATTTATTTCTGGTAGCCTGGTAGGTTTTCTGGAAAAAAATATTGCCTTTAAGGTTTTACAGGCATGTCTGAGGCTTGGTAACAGCTGCCTGCCTGTCAGTAGTTCTAGATACCAGACCAGGGAAACTGGGGAAAATTATTCAGCTTTTTGCCCACTTGAAATGGGGGGCCGACTTGTCTTGGTCCTTTAGTTTGCTTAGTTGCAAAGGAATTTTTCCCTACCTCGACCAGGTTTTTTCAGTTTGAAAAACAGAAGGCAGTTAATTTGCCTTCTTGATGGGCGGTTGCATTCTGCCATGGACTTCTTGAGCACCCCAAAGCAACTGGAAGCCCCATAAAACAGCATCAGGATGGCATTTACCTTCCAAGTATCCACTTGCAACAGCGAGGTAAAGACAGGAACATAGAGACTCAAAACCGAGGATGTGGGGAAGGTTGAAAGCACTTAAAATCAACCCATGATATGGTTCTTTGTATCAGTACTTCTGCAGCTTTTTTGTTTTTCCTGCAAATCATGTAGCAGAGCATACGGGAAGCACTTGACCTTGTGTGGCAGCAGGGCAGGAGGCGCAGGTAGCGGTGGATGGTGGAGCAGGACGGGAGCCGAGGGCATCGGCCCCGCAGCGGTGTCGCCATCGGGCTCCCCGGCCGCACGGGTGTCTGCCCTGCGTTTGCCTGCGGAGGTTTGGCCTCGCGCCCTGCGGGCCACCCGTCCAGGGCATCTTTACCTGCCTTAGCGGACATGACCCGAGGGCCCCGCCATGCCTTCGTTTTGCCTCCGGGGCAGCTGGCAAGGGGAAGGGTTCGGTCGTGCCCCACTGGTGCAGCCCGTATGGGGCACACGTCGGGGTTCGGCCATTTCGCTAACACCATCTCCGTGGCCTTTCAGCTTCGGGTATATCCAAGAGTGTGCAGGGACAAAGTAGGGTGGCTGCTGAGGGAGCCATTGCGCACTGGAAACCTGGGAGCTGTTGCTTTAAAGGAGAGGAGGGAAGGGAGAGAGAAGGAGAGGAAGAAAAAAACCCTTTTGTGGGCTGTAGAGAGAAGGTGCTAGAAGGGAGCCGGATCGTGCCCGGCCAGCAGCATCCCTGAGCGTGCACGGGGGCCTTCCCACAAGGGCCGCCC